GGACAGGTATCAGCTGAGCAACCGAAGCTTAACTAGATTAATGACTGCACCTTTATAGCAAATGTGCACCTTTGGGGTGTATGTGAGACCAGTCTATGTAGACCCATGAGCCCCACAGTGGGCCCCTTACTTTTAAGAAATGTGGGACATATGTTGGCCTCACATGGTGGGGCTGTGTGGACAGGACAAATCCACAGTTACTTCATGCAGGCTTCACAGCAGTTTTTTTTAATTTGGATCCCCACAAGGGTTTTCTGAGTTCAAGCACACCTGCTTGAGGCCCAAATGGGAAAAAAAGAATTTGCCCCTAACCACATATCCCCAGAGTTCACGCAGAGTTGCCCAATGTGTACCAGCATAGGCATGTTTGGTGGTTTTCTTTCCCACTGCTTATGGCCAACAGTGGTCAGTTTAGTCCAAACTGCCAATAATAGCAGATGGTTTACAACCCAGCTCTGCACCAGAGAGAGTAAAGTAACATTTGAGCCCCATTTGACAGTACTTTGGATTTTGGTCAGTTCGTGGCACCAAGAGGAAAAGAAGTACTGCTTGTATAGTGAAATCAATTCTTAAGTGCTATAAACCTGCATTCCTTCTAATGACCAGCAAGTAGCGACTCCTCAGGTTAGCTTAATCACTAGTTTCAAAATCTTTCTATTGATGAAAGAGCAGTCCTCACTCCTCACATACCCGTTCAATAAAATGAATGTGACTTGACGATTTAAAATGGTAGACAACATCTTAATGGAGGACATATCATTGTTCGTGCCCACTTTTACAGTTTATATCGTGAATGAGCAGTTGCATCAGAATCATCCAGTTTTATTTCCTAACTTCCAGGTGGACAGCTTTAAGGGAACATTTCGAGTGCTCAGAAAAAAAGGAGACAAAGGCGCTGGTGTAACAGATGTCCCCTAGTCTAGTGGTACCGTACCAAAACTCATTAGTTTCAAGAAGACTTATTTAGCTCTAAGTGCTTTATATATTTCATGAGGACCAAATGGTGCAGCTTTTGTCTCACTCATGCAAAATGTTAAAAGTCTTCACAGACTTGCAGAATAAGTCTCTTGGAGGCAAAGTGAAGTTCACTTTAATGCATCTCCCTCTGGGTGTGGCTCCCTTACGGAGTTAGGATGCTTAGCGAGGTCTGGTCGCCTCAGCACCACATGGCGAGTGTCGTGTCGCCGCAATAATAGGTCGTGCCTCATTGAGCAAGCTTATTGGATCTTCCTCAGAAGTGAGGTAAGTGGTGTGCTAAATTGAATGCAATTCATAGTTTTTGGCGGAGGCTTGATCTGCTATTACATTAGGAGTGAGAGAATTACATAGGCAGAGACAATACTGCAGCTGTTCAACCGTTACAAGATGCTTGTGGCCGTAGTAAAATCACATTTCAATCACCTCAACAGTCTCAGGTGACTCACGGTAGATGAGGACAAATGAGAAAATTAATATGACATCCTTTGATTTTTGGGGCCACAGAGCCCGAAGGCATCGCTAATTAAAATTTTCAATCATACTAAAGAACAGAGAGAATTACAAACTAAAACCACACCCCATAGTAGCCAGTAGACCAGCTAGTAAGTATTTATAATTCACTGAAACTGAATCTGTCAGAGCTGACAGCTCTTTTCTGATACTACAACTACAGGTCCATGCATTCAACCTGAATTTCCATATGAGTTGCTGCACGACTGTAGGAGCTGTTTCAGAGTCACTGCCTTCACTCTGCAGATGATCAAAACTCTGCAAACACTCAGTGAAATATGTCAGCTTCATGCTATAATACTCTACTAATCTTAAGTAACTGTTAACAAACTGACAGCTTACAGGATGCAGCTATTTTACCCCCAGTCTCCAGCCTTAACAACAACAAACTAGAAAACAAAAAAATTAAAGGAACCAAATTAGTGCTAATTAATTATACGAATGATACCTTGTTATATTTTATCTTTTTCTGCAGTCACAGAGAAACGGTACTGCTAAACTAACCTTGATCATGTATTATGTTTTTAACCTTGGGCACCTGCAACCCTTAAGGTTTTGTAAGTCCAAAAATGAAAAGAATGAAAGGCGTTGAATTTTGAGAACAACAACAACAATACTGCAGAGAGGAAATTCATACCTTAATGTATGCTAATCTATTGATACTATGTGTGCAGGAGCATGGTCTGCAAATCTGCAAAGCTGAGTTTGTAGTCAGTACCGGTACAATGTTGGCTAATAGCTATAAAACAAAAGTGGTTGGTGGTTCAGTTCCTGGCTCCTTTAGTCTCCAAGTCAAAGTATTGGATACACATTAAAGTATTGGTTAACATTAAAGCACTTGTGTGAATGGTTGAATGAGGCTTGCAGTAAGCAAGCACTTAGAAAAGCACTAAATAAGTACCAGTCCAAATATGATGTCAAGTCACCCGCAGCACAGATGCCCAGCAGTCTAATAATACTGGTGATTTAGTTTTTTTGATTTTTGCACTATCTAAGAGAATCCTCTGAGATTCAAATGAGACATCTCTGTCCCATTTGAATTCGTCTTCCTCCCCTCAACCGGTAGGATGAGAGAGGGTATATCATCTGAATGTGATACAGGTCTCGTTGTTGATGGCAGTTTTGAGTAACTAAGTAACTGTCGTCACTAGGGATGGGTACTGGTGTCCGGTGCCATGATGGCACCGGTTCTGACATAAACGGTAGTAACCAGACCGAAAAGCAGCGCACATTTCGGTGCTTTATTTCAGTGCTTTTTTTTCCTGAGCTGTGATACACTTCTAGCCAATCATTTTACGTTTCCGAGGATAGTAGGCGGGACCAGGTACATACGTTCTGTTAGAGCAGAGCTACAGATTAAAAATGTCCAAGGCTAAGCGGTTAAAAGTCTGGCTGTACTTCACAGCAAAATATGCAAACTCAGCAGCCTGCAACAAGTGCTTTAAGCTGATACTGTGATACTGTCAAAGGAGGTAACACCTCAAATCCGATGAAACACCTGGCAACGCATAGCGTTTTTTTTAAAAGCCCAGAAATGCGCCGTATTTGATAGCTTGCTGCGAGACCTCACACCGAGCACATCTACTGCGGGTGGGTTGCCTGTTATGCAACATCCCCCAAAAACACGAAGAGGAGAGTCCTGGCCCCTAGCCCTGCCAGTGTAGCAGAAATGATGACGGATGATGGTGGCAGCAGCCGTTCTTCTCTGCGTGAGTAGCTAATTTACGTTGAGTAGGCTAACCACGTTATTACATTAATGCATGTAAGGTGAACTAGCAAACACCTTAGTAGTTACATGCGGCTGTCCTCTTGTTTGATGGCAGATACTCCCTTCACCCTGGCCAAAAAGGCTAAAATGACCAAAGAAAAAGTGGAAAACAGTTAAACATGAGAGGTTTAGGACAAAGTTTGTGTTTTTTCCATTGATTAAGCACTGCTTCCAGCCAAGAGTGATACCATATATGCCCCATAGCTGCAGAAAAGGCTAACATTGTTATATTTTTACAAAAAACAGCTGAACATGAGAGGTTTTTGGACCAATTTTGTGTTCTCCATTCTTTAAGCACCGGTTTGAGCACCGTTTGAGCACCGGCACCGTTTCAAAAGTACTGATTTGGCACCGGTATCGGATAAAACCTAAACGATACCCATCCCTAGTCGTCACCCCCAACCGGTCGCAGCAAATGGCTGTCCCTCTCCGAGCCTGGTTCTGCCTGAGGTTTCTTCCTGTTTAAAGCGAGTTTTTCCTTCTCCTTTCTCTGTATTATTGTAGGGCCTGTATGATACAACATAAAGTGGCTTGAGCTGACTCCTCTTGTGATTTGATGCTATATAAACAAAACTGATTCGAACTGAACTGAATTGAATTAAACTAAATATCTGCCCAATCATCTCTTGATGGTACTTTATGTGCGTGCCATCGTGGCCATGAGTAACCAGGAATCCGGATTTAATCCTGTAGAGGAACCCTTGGACACAGCTACTATATCCAAGGAAGCCAACAGTCACACAAATTACCCAATCTCAGTTCAGAGGGGTTATGATGAAAAATAACAATACCGAACTCGTTGGCGGATCTGTAACTGGAATGGGTACAGCTGAATTCCTTTAATAACCATCTATTGGGGGGTAAGTCAAGCAAGGGCGGTATTTCCAGAGTGTTCCAGAGTGCTTTACCGTATCTTATACCTGTGTTACTACACTTGGATATTTGGACACTTTAGATATACACAACACAGTGTTGCCCTTGTTATTCTTTGCTGTTGTAATCTTTTGTTTTAAAGGCCTCATAATTTTTGTGATTTGTTTTTTCCTGGTTACTGGTATCGAGTTTAAAATTCTACCAATGTTATAACTCCAGCACACCCTTGGAAACGCTGAGGCAGAAATTACAGCAGGGGAATCCCTCCATCGTCCTAATCCATTAAAAAAGCTAATTTTGCTTGCTATCCACATTGCTAAACTTTTCCCAATCTGTCACTGACAAATTCCCCAACTGTCAAGCTATACTGAGCACAGATCCACACAAAACCGTCACTGTTAAATTGCACTGAAGTTCTGGCACCCCGATATGTCAGCATGTATCAGCAATGTGTCTATTTTAATCTACAACAACTTTCCAACTGCTAAACAAGCAGGACTGTGCCAGATCTGTATGTATGTTCAGACTTTACAGCACTAAACTATCAGCTGTTTTGTAGCCATTACACTGACTATTAGGAAAAACAAAGATTTTAGCACTATGGATATTTTTTATTTGGGTGAACTGAATCTCAGTCTGCACGTCCTTGCCCATTTACCCTGATTTTAGTTTTGTGTCCTCCCTGAAGATGCCAGTAGACCACACTTGATTTTTTACTGCAGAAATCTTGGTTATTGTGGTCCGTTGGCAGCTAGACCTCAACATTGCTCTTGTCCATAAAATCCTGGAAATAACCTTAAACAATCTGTTATTGTTGTACATCAGAATGTCATCACGAATTCAAGTAAATGTTAAAAAAATCCTCACTCACCATTGACCACCACTGCAATGTCCACAAAATCGATCTCCCCGCGTGCCTCTACGCTGGCTTCACAGCGGTACACACCCTCGTCAGCCTTGGTCACCTGATGGATCTGCAGGTTGTTGTTTGGCAACACCTGGAACCTGCCTTCACAGCACACGTGAAAAGGAGGACAGAAGGACAGCCGGAGAAAGGCAGAAGGGGAGAGTGGAAATAACAAAAGAAAAACAGCATACGATAGGGAGAGAAGCGAGATAGGAAAGTTAGAAAAACAGCGGGAGAAAATTGCCATCTCCACTCTTCAGTAGTTAGACTGTCAATCTTCTCTTCAGCACATTTACCTGATAAAGTCCACACAGATAAACACTTGCGCAATTACAGTTCCACACAGTCTCCTATTGTGGCCACTGGGAGATTGGCCGGGATTGCTCGGGCCTCTATCTCATTTCTCCCAAGCAAATATATTTATAACCACGAAGCGTAATTAGAGTGAAATGATTAAAGGAAAAAAAAACATTCTTCTCCATGTTTCATCATTACCTTGCTGCTGAAGATTTGAATTTCAATTAAAAACCGTGACAGATTCAAGGGGTCACTTTTTCTAATCTGTTCAGGCATGTGTTTTGTCTGGAAGGAGGACGGGGAAGCGGTGTAGAGAGTTGTAAATCAGGGAAGAGGCGAAGACGAAAATAATGAGTCCTAGTCTGCAGCACCTGCTTTCTATCAGGGAAGACTGTTACTGAAAGTGAATCTTTCTTTTCTTTTAATATTAAGTAGACTACTCTTCTGACATTTAGCACTATTAGCGCTGAAAAGGGTGGTATTACCAGAAAGAGCTTCATAAATGACATACATCAGCCTTCCCTCGAATAGGATGGAAGATGATAGACAATAGTGCCACATAAATACACCCATTAGCTGGCTTTTTCCCAAAAGATGCAGGGTGTGGGTTTGCATTTTATCTCATGGGAAGCGGTATCTTCGAATGTCGCTATCCAACTGCTCAATAATCCGTCCTCTCAGCTGCTTGTTAACATCGTCTCTGTCTGAGTTAGACGCCTCCCTCCGGGGCTGATGGGGTTTCTATTCATAGAATTTTAGACTTTTGTCTTATTGTGAATCCACACAAAAGAAGGGAATAGCATTTCCCAGAGACCTGAATTTTTGCCACATTAGTGAGCCTTTTCAATGACCGAGAGAGGGAAACAGTTGGGCAGGCTGAGACTGACAAGCTTTTTTTCCTCTCAATAATTAAGTGTTTTTGGCATATTTACATTCGTCATGCAATCCTTTTGAGATTATCACTCACATGCAACTTTTATTATTACCATAAATTACTAAAATATTCAATATCACTATACACACTGACTATTCACACTTAAGCAGTGGTACTTTATCCAAGTACTTTCTTTGACTAGAGACTTTGGGATGATTTGATCAAAAGCATTTCACACTTAAAAACAATATATGTATGTATGTATGTATATATATATATATATATATATATATATATATATATATATATATTTGTTTTGTTTTTTTAACAGGAATTTACCTTTAACACAAGATTAAACAGATACATTATATGCTTATAAACAAAAAACAGATAACTTAAGCAGATTTAGCCAGAGGATGAGAAAATGAATAACGACATATAACCAATGCCAGGAAACTGTATTTCTGTGTGTCTGAAAGAAAAAAAATACTGAATACCGCTATCGGTCTCCTGTATTGGTCACGCACTAGCCTAATACAGTTAAATATTTGTGTGTTATTAGGCAGGTAGTTTTCAGCACTGGAGGCTCCTACTTCTGTTTTGTTAGCCATCTTCTTCTCCTTGGGACTTTGCACATTTGTGGGCGTGCAACTCAATCAGCGTGACCATTGACAGGAACGATGTATCATGTATTCATGCATAAAGTAGAAAACTGCTCTTTACTACTCTCAGTGGACAAAAACCTTTACCAGGATTATATTATATATGCTACTGGCCTGTTACCAGTTAACCTAATCACATGAAAAATGTTCCTGCAGCTGTTTCTTTTTAGCATTACTTAATCGCCCTTTGTCGCCCCTGTTGCAGCTTTTTTTGAGACTAGTTGCTGCCACCAAATTGAACATGAGCAAATATTTTCCTTAGAATGGTGCATTTTTCTCACGTTAAACACTTGATATGTTTTCTGTTTTGTGCTCACAAGATTTGAAAAACTTTGGATTCTACTTTTATTTATATTTTTACAGTATATAGCCTCTCAAATTTTGGGCAATTACAACTCAATTACTTTTAAAGAACAGTCATTGATACTGATCTTTGATTACCTACTGTAATTCAGACTTCACATCCCAAAACATAACTTTATATTGTGTCCCTGATCTTGAGGCCTTCTGAATACCTTTGAGCTAACCTAACAAGCCATTCTTTGTTTGGTCACTGCAAATGACAGAGCAGTAGGATGTAATTTCCCACGGCAATTAAAAAAAACAAAAGAACAAAACCAAGAAATGTAATGAAAAAAGTCTATACGTGAAATCAGGGGGGGCAAAACTTACTGTGGTGCTCCTCAGTGATCTCTTTGTCCTGGTAGTACCACACCACCACGGGCACCGGGGAGCTAATGACATCACACACAACTTCTGCTGTCTCACCATAGCGGAACTCCTGCGGTGACTGAACATCCTGGAATGTCAGCCTCTCTGCAAGATCAAACAAGATGGAGATTGAACAGCTTTTTCCCCCTCTCTGAGCATTCAGAACAGACAATTTATTGCAGGTCTGAACATCAAAAGGAAAATAAGCAGAAATTGTTGCGCTTTTACTGCCCTCTTAACTCATTCACTGCCAGCCATTGGCAGTGAATGAGTTAAACCCATTGACTCATTCACTGCAATTGACGGCTATAGACGTCAGTGGCAGTGAATGAGTTAACTATGACTGTTTGGAGACAGAACATAAAGTTAGGGCTTTAAAAAAATTGTTTCCTTCCACTTGTCTTAATCTTGGCTGTATCCTGTGAGGAAGGAGTTTGACATTTTAAAGTACTTTGCTGTATTTCTTGATAATATGGGTTAACGTGTTAGGGTGACCTACTAGCTGCTCATCTTGTGGCTAGGCAAGAACAGTCCCTTCAAAGGTACAACAGCTTTTTTTGTTTCGAGAATACAACTCTTGAATTTGTGGCTACGTCCACACGTACCCGGGTATTTTTGAAAACGCAGAGTTTTCTATGCGTTTGCACCTTTTGTCCACACGTAAACGGCGTTTTCGGTCACTGAAAACAGAGATTTTTAAAAACTCCGGCTAGGGTGGATATTTTTGAAAACTCCGTTTTTGCATTTACGTGTGGATGAGAAAAACGGAGAAACGCAGAAACGCAGAAAACGCAGCATCAAAGGTGTGAGCCTTTTTTGACGTCACACTGTGCGCCACGTTATTGTTTCGGTGAAATGAATTTCTACAATACTATTACTGTTACTTGTACTCTCTGCAGTGTTTAAATGCTTACATATACACACACAGTTACTGTCCCTCCATACATACCACTAGGTTCTGCTTCTCTGCCCCATCCTTGTTTACTATTTCTCACCGAGGCTTCTAGACTTCTGATTGGCCAACATTTCTACACGGTTAGGAATATATCGCCACCTGTTGCTTTGGCATGTTCCTAGCAGCGTTTTCCTTCATTTCTGCGTTTACGTGTGGATGTGATTATTTTTTAAAACGAAAACGGAAAATCTCAGTTTTCAAAAATACCCGTGTACGTGTGGACGTAGCCTGTAAGAAAAAATGCAGCCATTATCTGAAATCATGAAGTCAAGTAGCACATCTGAATCAATTTATAGCCTAATTTGCAAACGGATTTGATGGTAAGGAAAAAAAGCCATCTGTGATTTTAGCACAGAAGCACCACATTATCACATTTCTGCAGAAATGGGAAAAAAAAAACAACACGCTGATATGGATGACTTAATAGCTGCTATCCACTAGTTCAGGGGTGGGCAATTCCAGGCCTCGAGGGCCGGTGTCCTGCAGGTTTTAGATCTCACCTTGGGTCAACACACCTGAATCACATGATTAGTTCATAACCAGGACTCTGGAGAACTTCAGGACATGTTGAGGAGCTAATTTAGCCATTTAAATCAGCTGTGTTGGTTCAAGGACACATCTAAAACCTGCAGGGACACCGGCGCTTGAGGCCTGGAGTCGCCCACCCCTGCACTAGTTCCTAGTGCAGCACTTAAATTATAAATAACTTCATAATTTAAGTGAACATTTGATCTTTTTTGCAAATGTAACCACCCATCCTACTTCTTATCCAATAATTGGCGGCGGGTGGTGTGGCGGTACAGTGATTAGCATTGACATTGCCCAGCAGATGGCTTCCAATTCAGGCTGACGACTAGCTTAAGTGGTCATTCTAAATTAGCCACAGCTCTATGGTATTGCATCACCTGGCTCCACAGTAAAAAAAAAAACAAAAACAGCAATGAAAGAGAGTAAGAACATAATTTTTCCACTATGACAAACTGTTTTTTTTATATATATAAACCATGTTACCACAATGTTTTATTGGGTGCAACAACAAATCTGAGTTAAACAGATTTAACATAAGATTAGTTAAGAACGACTGCCAATTCATTCTGAGTATGACATCAATGTTTTGGGGTTTTTGTTTTTATTTATTTTTTTCTTTGGGAATCTTCCAAATCGTCCAGTTTTTTGGATCAACAAACCAACAAAGGGATGACAGACTACCAGTGTTGGTCAAGTTACTTGAAAAAGGTAATCAGTAACTAATTACTGATTACTTCCCCCAAAAAGTAATCCCATTACTTTACTGATTACTTATTTTCAAAAGTAATTAATTACTTAGTTACTTTTTAAAAACACGATTTACAACCTGAATAGGTGATAAAGCGATAGATCTTTCAGCCCAATTCTACTTTTTCTACATAACCCATTATACAAAATGTAATCAAATGGAAAAGTCCCTTTTTAAAACTTGTTTTATTAGTTTTAATCTTTTAACTTTATGCATCAAGCAAAAATTTAATTATATGCAACATTCTCTGACTGGAAGAAATTTGTTTAACATTTAATAATAATAATAATGGATACTTTATTGATCCCCATGGGGAAATTACTTGTTTTTCTCTGCATTTGACCCATTCACTCAGTGAAGCAGTGGGCAGCCCACTAAGCAGGCGCCGGGGAGCAGTGTGTAGGGACGGTACCTTGCTCAGGGGTACCTCAGGGTAGCCGTTAAGTGGATTCGAACCGCCGACCTTCCGATCATGGGGCGACCACTTTACCTACTGAGCTATCCCTGCCCCCTATTTTTAAACCTATTTTCTGCACATTCCAGCACATAAAATATATATTTTTTGTGTGTTTACACTCTCTCTTTCAAATAGATGCAAGTAAAACACAGCAGGAAATAAATAAAGTCAAAGACTAGCGGTCCTGTTGCTCTATTTTCACCTGTAAAGCAGGAGTAGGGTAGGCGGAGGTTTGCCCTGGTGCAGGTGTGCCGCAGCGGTCAGTGGAAGAATCCGCGAGTTTCTCTGTGAATTTCTCATTACGTCGTAGCGCACTCGGTGTTTGCTTGGAAGTTTAGGGGGTTTTTTCGCTGTAAAAAGAAATTTCCTTCCCACGCACAACGGACACTAATGTTTTTGTCACTTTTTATGGAATCAAACTTAAAGTAAGGTCAGTACTTCCACGCTTTAAACTAGAGATGGCACGATACCACTTTTTTATGTCCGATACCGATATCATAAATTTGGATATCTGCCGATACCGATATGAATCCGATATAGTGTTGTTTAATCAACAAAACAGTTTTTTTTAAATATCTTGCTGCATTTTGTATAAGTTCATACTCAAGTTTAAAACAACAACTACACTAAAGCTATTCTGTTATACCTGTATGCAAAAAAAAAAAAATTCATAGTTCAGCAATACTGATCAATCTAATAAACTTAAACCTACACCATCCTCCCTATTCTGGTATTTTAAAGAGTACTTAGCGTAAATATTAAGCAACCTAACTAATAGGGTTCCAACTCCCAGCAACAACAAAAATAAATAAATAAAAAATAGGGAACCACCCCTCACGCTCCACCTCATGATGCTTAATCAACGTAATCAACCTTAATTTGATGCAGTGTGAAAAAAAATGCACAGAAATCAATTATTTTTCAAGAAATATTAAATAGATTCAACATCTTTCTTCAACAAAATTGCAGACTGCACAGATGGTACCTTCCCAAAGGAAAAAGTACTATAGCTTACTAGGGTATATATATTAGACTTAATAGTCACTATATACAGTAATTGACTTCTATTCCTTTTACATCAAATTAAAACTAATTAAAATTAAAAAACAGATAATTATTTATTAAAAGCTAGACATTTTAAATGAGAATAAGAAAGAAAAGTATGTCTTTGTGCCCCTTTTCCCTGTTCATGCCCTATCGGCCCCCCTGGCTAAACTTTGCTAGATCCGCCCCTGCACAGTTACCAGCGTCAGCTACGTAGAAAAAGATCCTGGTGTAGAAAGTAATATTAAATAAATTCTAACAACAGCTTATCAAGCTTAAACGTGCTGCTGTTGTTCAGCCGCTGGTTTCCTCTTTCTGGTGCAAAGTGGGCCAAAAGCAAACTAGAGACACGGACTCGCGACAGAAAAGCCAATCAGCTGATCATTGATCAGTTTCATGATTGAAGTAGCAGCAAGAATATATCGGATCGGTCCATCTCTACTTTAAACGCTGCATGCTCATACTCTCTCCTGCACTCATTAATGATCCATTGTTGATCTGCACACAGCTGTTGTCATGAACGTGGCACTCGTTTACATCACTGTCATGAGACATTCTCGCAAAAAAATCACGGTTTTAGTAACGCAGTAACGCAGCGTTCCTACGGGAAAGTAACGGTAATCTAATTACCGTTTTTGCAATAGCAATCCCTTACTTTACTCGTTACTTGAAAAAAGTAATCGGATTACAGTAACGCGTTACAAGTAACGCGTTACTGCCCATCTCTGCAGACTACACATATGGAAAAGAAATAGTAAAAACTTACATGATTTACTCATGAAAGTGGCCACTTTCTCATTACTTTCATACATTGTTTTAGTAAGTATCCAAAACATACAAGTTTCATTATATAATTTTTCAAGGGATCTTATATCTGTTTTCACTCTTATATGCTTTTCATACAAGTTTTACACAAGACAGATATATATAAATCTTATAAAGTTTGTATCTTTTCCATATGGGTACAGACAGGATAGAAGGCGAGCATTCCTTCCATGTTTGAAGAACCAGCGAATGTGAAGTTTGCCAATCAGATCCACCTCATCCAAGACACTACAAACATAAAAAACCCAGAGTTTGAGGTGTCTTAACAGGACTTCACATACAACAGGTGACATCATTGTGTCAGTGTGACAGACCAACACTGCTATCCATAGGACTATTTCAAAACTATAATATTATACAAACCCAGCGTGCACACATTCACTGTTGACATTCAGTGCTTGAATTCTCAATAACACCCCTTGTGTGCACAACAACCACGTTATTAAGCATAGCTGTCATGTTAAATAATGCCCATTGGTTCCCACCGAAAGCATTTGGAAAGACACGCAGGAGAAAAATTATGCACAGTGCAAACTGACGATGAGCTT